AAAGGAGCAATTCATTCATACAGTTACAAAACATGAATCGACAGTTGTCGGATTGTACATCAATGACAAAATGTGTCTAGGCCCTCATTCTTGACTACAACTACTGCCCCCAGAGCCGCTCTCCGACGCCAATGCGTTGGAGCTTCCTGCTTGTTAATTTTGTTGTTGCCATACATAAAAATAGAAAAGAAAAATAAGATTAAAATTTGAATGAAAATCGGAAGTGACGTCATATTGAGTTCCCCGTATAACCATTTTGTGTGATAAGTGGCATTGCCTTTTTAAACAAATGTGGAAATAACCACATTAAACACATCGGATCAAATCATAATTGATTAAATACTCACCCATACCCGGAAAAGTTACAAAACTGTTTTTGTGTGAAACTACATTCAGCGCTGAAAATATCGTATCTTTCTTATGAGCTCATATCTGGACAAACAAACAAAACAACAAATAACCAGGTACCTGGTATGGTATTTTGCCGTGCTGAGGAAAAACGTCGTATGTGTATTCGAATGTTGCCAAATTTCCCTTGATAGAAAATGTATTTGGGGAGGAAGCTATGCGTGTTTTCCCCTGAAATTTTGAGATAACCCAGGTAAAAATTGGCGACAGGAGCTGCGTTTCAAAATACCATAGGAGTTCTTATAGCCGACTGAAGAAGGCGATGGAAAATCATATAGCTGGCTGTAGAAAGTGGAAAAGATCATACGGCGGGGCTACACGAAGCGATAAAAAAGTACACAGCCGGGCTATAGTTCCTATCGCCGGGCTTTACACTTTATCGCCTGGCTGTTGCTTTTTCGCCATCGGCTATAAAAGGCTATAAGAAATTGTGTAGAAATTCGTGTGCTTTGTAAATCCTAAGTTTGTACGGAATCACATTAATATTTACAAAGCGCACATTATATTTTCCTTTACTACATATATTTTTTTCATCCATTAAAATGAGAATAATCCATACAGAGTGTGCAAACATTTGAAAGTCATGAGTTGAAAAACGCTGACTCCACGAGATTAAATATTAGAGCCTAACACAAAGCGGAGCGGGGGCGCACTGGCGCCTACAAACCTAACAGGGATACTTCACGCATTGCGCAATGCGTGAAGTATCCCTGTTAGGTTTGTAGGCGCCAATGCGCGCTCCACGCAGGCTGCCCGCCCGCCGCGCCGCGCCGCAGTGTACCACAGCGCTTGAAGCAACTATTTCACACCAGTGGTATTGCACAGTATCGAAATTGAAGGCGCTCCAACATATTAGGAATGGCAGGCATCCTTCAAAAGTACGGAGCTTTCCTCGCAAAATAAATCGAGATACCACGGCCCAAAAAGAGAGCGGTAGTCCAAAAACTCACCGAGTCCTAGCATCCGTAATTAGTAACGTTTAGCATCCCAATCGGAAATTTGACCTTGGTACAAGCTTAGTATGACATTTTTTCACATTTGAATAGAGTTGCCAAGCTTATCTTGCTAATGTTCCCACAATGTTAGCAGGACATTTATTTTACCTCTGGGACAAGCTTGAGCCCAAAGATTGTGCCAAGGTTAGGTTTGTAAGACTGCTCCAAGCCTATCCTGACAATATTGCCACAATATTGGTGGGACATTATTTTACTTCCGAGACAAACTTGGATATTCAATATTGTGACAACGTTATGTTAATAATGTTGCTCCAAGCTTGTTCAGCGGATATTGTGATCATGATGTTGCCATAGACTTGATGTTAAAATATTGCCATAGTATTGGCAGGATATTTATTTTACCTCTGAGACAAGCTTGGATTTCCAATCTTACCTCTGAGGCACTGTAGGCGATAGAACGCCGTATTACCTGCCGTCCTCGCGGAAGAAATTTCATAGCGTCGCAATGCTTAATGTAGGCATTCGGAACATTGGAGTGCAGAGGAACCTTCCTAAGTCAGCTACTCACTTAGTTACTTGCACTGGCTGAAGTATTCAACTTGGATCCCACTTGTAACGGGCACTGCCCAGGCGAAACCAGAACCAGCCCCATTGACGGGGCGGCCGCGCGCGGACCGTTGCCAAAAAGCTCCATTTGAGCCCTCGGCCTAAGAATATCGGTAAGATGGGTTAGACGCCTATGGATCATGTGCCTAATACGTCAAAAAGCGAAAGGTCGCAGTTTTTGCCCTTTAATTTGCCCTTAAAGAGACCGCAACGGCAGATCCGCGGCGAGCGCGCTCTGGTGGCGGAAATAGCAAACGCGGTCGAATTGTGCTCACCGCGCACAATATTGTGTTAATCTTATGACAATATTAGAAACAGAAGCCTAAAATGTTTATCTTCTTAATCTTGTGACAATGTTAAAGTGCGAATATTACCACAATGTTGTAAAAATAATGTTAGCATGATATCAATTCAGCAGTTTTAGATATCCAATATTGTGTCAATATTATGACAATATTACGAACAGAAGCCTAAAATGTTTGTTGTTCTAACGTTAATTGAATGTTAACATAATAACAATACCGCAGTATCACAGAGATAACATCGTCTCGATATTATTTTAGCAATTTTGTTTTCCTAATATTGTGTCAATATTGTGTCAATATTATAAGCAGAAGCCTATGTTCAGTATTTTTTTTAATAATGTGCCAATGTTAAAACTAACATATTACTGCAATATTGAAAACATAACTCTACGACAGTATTAGTTTACCAATATTGTATAACCAATATTGTGACAACATTGTGACAATCTTGGAATCACCGAGCACCACCTGACCTTGGATTTCTAATGTTGCTAATATTGGTGCAATATTAAAATACTAAGGTTATATATTCAGTATTGATGGTATATTGTACCAAGATTCTCAGACCAACCTTACTGTTGAAATATGCTCACAATCTCGCTAAGGTTGCCACAATATTATTCCGATCTGCCCAAGGTCTAATTTCCGATTGGGATATACTTTATCACCAGACTGTTGCTTAATCGCCATCGGCTATAAAAAGCTATAAGAAATTGTGTTGCCGGCTATAGAAGCTATTGGAAATCTTACAGCCGGCTGTAGGTCTATGGTATTTTGGAACACAGATTCGTCTGCCAATTGTTACCAGGGAATTTAGATTCAATTGCGAACATAATTGCCTGAAATATTACGACGGTGAAACTACCAAACCACGTATCTCGTTTGCGGTGTTTAAAAATCTCCGCTCACATTTTATTTTTTTGAAGTAGACCAAATCAATATCATTCCTTGAAATTTTCACAGAATTGTCTCCGCACGAAGAGGAAAAATCACGGAAATTTTCAAGACTGGACGTTAAGTAGCTTTTCATTTAAAAAATAAAGTATGACAGGAAGTCTGCGACGTCGCAAACCGAGATACGTGGTTTGGTAGTTTCACCGTCGATTAGAAAAGAAACATTTACAACCTTCCCTATAAATTCGTATTTTATTGAAGGAAATTTGGCAACGACTGAAGACTCATACGGCTTTTTTCTCAGTACAGCAGTATTGTATATTATGTTTCCTCTCCGACCTTCAAGAAGTTCAAAACTTCTTTAAAGTCTTAATCGAATCAACCCGCGTATAAAACATTGATGGGAAGAGAATGAAAGGTGGTAATATGTAATCGGATCACCATTTCCCTAAAGAGGTTGTGCAGCACATAATAGCGCATGATTCTAAAGCCCAGATACCGGGATGAGCTTTTAAATCGAATAACGTCTTGAATAATAAGACGAGCAATATTTTGGCTAAATCTGTTGAAGCAGCGCACAATACGATCGGAACGCCGTATGAGCCTTCAGGCGTTGTCATATTACCTTCAATAAAACAATAATTTACAGGAAAACTTTGGAATAATATTCCTCCAATTGCTCGGGCAATTTTGTCGACAATTTGATCTAAAACATTTCAGTAAATCTCAAGGAAAAATATGTATAACATTCCAAAAAAATAGGCATTTTCTGGAAAAAAATTTGGCAACACTCGAATTTTTATATGGCGTTTTTCCTTAGCACAGCAGAATAGGTTTCTGCTTTCCAATTCTTCCGATGCAACGGAGATCAATTTTAAAAGGAGGATGGCAGAAGGGAAGTGGTTGAAAGTACGACAGATTCAGGGGTATCCGTGGAATTTTATTTTAAATTATTCTGTCAAAAATGAATGAAGGAATCTCATCGTGAATTCAATCGATCGACTCGCATTTCTCCCAAAGCGCAAGGAGAGGGGGCGGGAGGCACCGTTATCTAACTGAAAGGTTATCCGTCGTTATCTGTCATATTAGAAGTTTGCGCCGTTTCAAAGCTCAGCTTTCTATGGAAATACAAACATAGTCCAACAAAAAGAGTTCTGAATCCTCCGCGCTGAAGTTAAATTTGGACCGGGTGTCGCAGAAAGGAACGAAGCGTGCCGCATCGCTGCCACATTTGTGTAATTTCTTGTGCTGCATGAAGGGGTCTAGATTTTAAAAGAATTACCCC